CCCCAAAACCCCAAAACCCCAAAACCCCTTTTGTTTTAATTCTCAAAATTTTAATATCGTAGAATGATGAAATTAAATCTATTATTTTAAGTCAAGTCAATCTTAGCCGTCTAAACAATCAATAAGGATTGATTCTGTAGCCATTCATCAGAGGTGAGAATCTATTGCACATAGCCCATTCTAATGCTTCCTCCTATGAAACTAGTGTCTTTCCATCCTCAAATGTAAATTAGTGGCCCTAAAAATATTATTATTGATAAAATTAACCTTGATTATAGATTATGAGAATGCTGAATGCTTATTTCCTTGCAGGTTCTAACCACTTGCTTAGTAAAGGTAGATTCCTGGTTCATCAAATAAAACACCCTCTAACATTATTTGAAAATTAAGGCAAATCTTACTATTCTTTTAGTACTATCTAAAACCTTCTATCAAAGCTTGGTATCTTGCTTTTTTCGTCTAATCTGCACCAAAGTTTACATCGATTGAGGTTAATGAATCTTTGTGCTGTTCCTTCACTGAGAATTATTACTTAAGCTGCTGTCTGCCAGTAATTGCTTGTTCAATAGCTTAGATAAATGAGTTAGCTGACTTCTCTTGAACCTTTGAAGACATGTCCAAAATCTATTGCACTAATGTCATCATAACATCGTAGAAGCCGAAGTATATTGATTTTATGAATCCAGTGAATGCTGAATAGAATATTATCTGGTCCTTAACTCTGAAAAGATTAATATTGTAATAATTAACTTACTCTTAACTAATTTTTGTTATATTAGCAGTCTAAATGAGTTCTGCAGCCTCAAACATCTGGTTTATTTAATTAATATCTGTTGATGCAAAACCTTTTCTCATTAGTTTCAAACTTATTTCAGCTGCTAAATCAATCTTATTTGCTATCAAATAATTTTCTAAAGCACTGATATCATCTCCTTATGACTAACACTTTTAAGCGAGTGCTTCGTTTTAAACACCAAAACTAGGATCTTTCATTAATGCACTATTGATAAGTCTACGCTTGAATAGCTCAACTTATCTCTTGTCTTTAACATCCTTACTGAGAACTTATAAGCAAATATCAGTTTGGAAGTATTTCTCAGCTTTTTCTGATATCAATAACGCCACCTCTGATAATGCTTCTGGATATTGATTCTAAGCGATATAATAAGCGATATAAATTTCATTATTTCTAACTAAGATTTCAATAGCATTTTTGAAATCACTAATTGAAAGATAGCATGCTGCTGCTAGTAATGGCTTCCCTTAATAATAAAAGATTTAACTCTATTCTCTAACAAAAGCAGCTAATTGGGGATCTATCTTGTATAATGGCTATGTCTTAAGCTTAGTCATAATGTTAAGTAATTCTTAGGAAGAGTTTTTATCAGATTTATCTTTGCTTCTAACACCATCTAGTACTGATGAGAAAACACCTGTTAATTAAAGGGCCTTAACTAGCTTTCCATCCTCGTAATCTTCATTATTTGCAAATATTTCAATTGCTCTATCGCATTAATTACTAATTATTGCTGAGATTGCAGCATCTTCGTGTCCTTGCTTAGAAAGTATTTCAGTTTTCCTTTCTGCTAACTCCTGCCAGTATTCAATACTTACTGCTGGAGCAAAGTTCAAAGCCTTGTCATATTCTTCAAGGTCAAAGAGAGTTTCACAGTACTCTCTGAATTATCCTGTCCTTAAGTATATTTTGGCTGCTTCCTAAAGTCTGTCTTCTTTTTTAGAATATTATGTATTATACATCGACATGCCAGTAGCTTTTCTAAGTTTATCTGCTTTTTCTTTCATAGCCTGTGCCAACTAAGCACAGTGAAGTACTTTGAGTTCATAGGAGTCTCTTTTTGTTTAAAAGTTGGCGTCTCCCAATAAGTCTAGAATGTTAAAAATATCCTCTTAACCATCATTCAAATTTAAGAAGCAATACATACTTCTCAACAGTTCTATTTGATTTTTGAATCCACCTTTTTAGGCTTGCTAAATAAGTCTCTAGGATTCTTCACTTGACAATTTATACTCTCCCTTTGTAGAGAATGCTTTATCTGGAGTGTCATAGAATTTAGTGTTAGCAGCATCCATTAGCATTTAATTTCTGATGGTTGTTACAAGCTAATCCATTGCGAAAAATCTTAGAGTTGTATCTCTAGAAGAAGAAACAAACACGAATGGTCTTTGAGGATGAAAAGTAATTCCATAGACATCTGCTGAATGTTCTACAATAGTGTGAATGCAATTTCCTGATCTAACATCCCATAGCTTGATAGTTGCATCCCATGCTCCTGATACTAATAGCCAGGGCAGTTCAGGATTAAATTATATAGCTCTTACGTTATGAGTGTGGCCTTTCAATACTTTAACAGTTGAACCATCCTGTGAATTCCAAATTCTTATAGTTAAATCATCTGATCCAGATGCCAATATATAAGGAATTTATTTATTGTATACGACGTTAAAAACCTTTTTCTCGTGCCCAGGTAATTTTATCAAGGGCTGTGATTACTTAGTATTGCAAATAAGAACCATACCATCTCCACAACCAATAGCATATTCATCCTTGTTATTAGGACTCCAGCAAACCCCAAAAACAGGGGAATCATAAAATATCTGTTGCTGAATAGTTAAATTTTTATAATCTTTGCAGTTAACAACAAAACTGTTCTATGATTAACTTCCTACTAATAGTAAATTTGGATCATTAGGATTCCAATCCACTTTGAAAGAGGGTACTTTCTAGCTAGTAGGATTAATATAGCCTAACAATTTAGATTTTAATGCATCATATATCATGACAAAACCTAGAGAACCAGCTAAGGCGATTTTCTATTCAGTAGGATGCCATGAAATGGAATAAATGATATGCTTTTCCTCTTTTTGAATAGGGGAGTTCCTCAATGTATCATTTATTTGTAAAAGCTTAACATTATTTGAATCCCAAATTCTAACTGTTCCATCGTAGGAGCAGCTGGCAAATATGTTCCTATCAGTTGGAGAGAACTCAAGATCAAATACTGTTTCAGCATGGCCTGCTTCACTTTAGAATTCAATTCTTCTCTTCTCAAGATTGAATACCTAAACAGCACCATTGATGAATCCAATCAACATTCTTTTTGAGTCTCCTTTCAGCTTTGTCATGCAATGAATACCTGAGCTGCCGACTTTAATTATTTACTTGGGCTCTCTTGAAGCTACATTCCAAAGTCTAAGAGTACCAACCTTTCTTGTTGATGTAATGAAGTCACCACTTTTATCATCTCTCCAACAGATATTATTAACACCCACTGACTACTTCTCATATGTAAATCTAAGAATTGTACTAGCAGGGATAAATCCATTGAAATCAATCATTGCCTGACTACCATCATTAAATGATACGAGTAAATGATCTTCATTTGGATCCCAAGCTAGATCTGACACTCCTGATTCTGGGTCACCATTAATTTCTGTTTCATCAAATTCCATTTAAAGAGTTTAAAGAGTTTAAACATCAACGAAAGATATCTTCCCAGATTTAAACCCTACAGCTGCAACATTATCTCTCTTTGAGTTCCATTTAATGCAGGTTGGAACTTCATCTTTAATTACTTCAATAGTGGTCACAGCTTTGTTATTTAGATCAGCTAGCTTGATTTCACCTAAATATTTATCACAATCTAGATAAAGAAATCTTACCGTTTTGTAACAAAAGCATAATGGAATTATGAGCACTCTTATTCCATTCAATCCTCTAAATAGGGCTATTGAATGATGCATTAAACTTCACATTCTCAGATTCGATATCCCAGATTATAAGTTTCTTATCTATTGTTGCCTGTGCTAGATACTTCTACTATGATGATGGATCAATCTCGATAGCGGATATATTCTAATCTGCATGAGTGAAGACTTTTTCTAATTAGAAAGTTTTATTCTCGTAGAGGTAAATAGCTAAAGTTGAAGCGAATGCAAAGTGCGTATTAGATGATGCCAAGACTTGAGGTTTCCAAATTTGTATACCTGAAGGTGAAATTTTCTATAATCAGGGTTAATTGTTAAGATCTAATTATCTTCTTGAGACTTACTATCTGTTTTATCATATTTAAATCAAATTATAAAGTTTCGAACATAAAATAGGATATATCTTTGAGTCATGGGGTTTTGGGGTTTTGGGG